CAGGCAATTGTATTGAATTCCTCAAATTCAGACAACACTGAATCATTTTCGCAATCTATTCCATCAGAAAGATACCTTCTAAAAAAATAGCCCACAAAGTAAAGACCAGACTAATCTTTTCTCCCTCACAACGCACAGGAAAACACACTCGGCCAGAGCACACAAACAGAACACCCCAAGCTACGTACACCTCTCTAGTCCAAGCATTGTCTTGAGATGTGCTGTGATTTTCCTGTTGACTTCCTTGAGTTAGTCGTGTATGAACTGGGCAGGATTATAATATTCAATAATTAACATTTTTGACTCAGTGAAGGAAGGTTGAGCAGAGTGTCGCATGCCATTAGCCCAAGTGTGGCACCATTTCTGAATTTGCAAATTGGTACAGCCAGTTATTGTCAAAGTTCTCACTGGCAGGAACAAGTATGGAGCTTTCTCAATCCAGGTTTTAAAAATCTGTTAGACTCACATAGAATTCCAGACTTAGCCATTGTTAGAATTTCCCAAATCCTTTTCTTTACTGTGTATCATTACCTGCACTGTTTTTGAAAGCCTGTAGAACTCAGATGGTTGAAAATAGGAAGACAAGGCAGATAGCTGTCCCTCGAATCTAGAATCCAGTGTGCCTGACCAGTTTGCTTTTTCTTGCTTTTCTATTTTAGTTTATATGTAGACATTTACAATTCCTAACTTTCTGCAATACTTCCCTGTATAAAAACTGTTAGAGAGGGGCCTTGTTACAGTCTGGTAGGAGATAAAAGTATTAAACAGTATTTTGAAAATTACTATTGTTGGTTAAGGTAAGTGCTTTGGCTTGATTTTGAAAAGACTCAAGGCTGGGGAAGATGAGCCTATTTCAAGCAGAATAAGAAATTTTAAAGAGGACGCAGTATTCAAAATTCTTGATACTTTCGAGGATTACCCCAAGAGAGACACTAGGGTGGTGTTCGAGCGGATTCAGGACAGCTGTCAAACTTCTGGGGAACCCAGCTGTTACAAAACCTCTTCTAGAACATTCTCTGACCAGTAACATGAAGGCATTTCTGCCCTTACTCCCCTACCAAGGTCCACTGACAGTAATTGTTGCTCATCTCGGTATGATGCATGGCACAGATGGACAGAAATGGCTCTGATCCAAGAGGAGCTCTGAGATCCTGACCATAACATCCACTCAGGAAAATATTCTCAAATAGGCTGTTTAAACAGGCTGTCTTTGCCAGTTTCGTGACTTTTTTTTTTTATTTAGTCTATGTTTCCATCAAGACTTCTTTGAAGAACTCTGTTGGTAACATAACACCTTCTTAAATGTACAAGTGTGTGTTAATAGATTAAAATTTTGCCTATAATACTCACACAGTGCAATTGTTCTGTACATTCCTAATTAAACCCTATATATTTTATATTCCTTGCCTCTCTGCTTGGGTCCAGCAGAGTGGTGTGAGGAGGGAGCTCATAGAAGGCTCAGAAAATCTGCAGGGGAGTTATGATGGAAAATGAGAATTTGCATACTTCTCACAGGGCATGGTAAGCATGACTTGTAAAGGACTTTGAGGTACATTGGTCTTGTATTTCTAAACCATGTTTTTTGTTTTACAGGTGAACTCATTATTGCATAGGTCATCTTAATTTCCAGGTTCACTGTCATTGCTGAAAAAATGCTTAGATCAGGATATGTAGTAACGTAACCATGGCTGTACCATTTGTAAAACTGAAAGGAATAGGAGAAATATACTTGTTCAAAATTGTTTCTGCAATTATAAAAGCATATTCCCTAAAGCAAATGCAAATTGTTTCAAACTGAGTTAGAAAGGTCCTCTTCCTGTGTTTGTTATCATTTTCCACTTGACTGAACGTTTAAGAGGAAGATGATTCTACTCTAGAGTATGCTTAAAAACAGTGTGTCAAACTAAAATACGAATTAATGCAAGTGTGCTTGAGGGAAAAAGCAAAGTTGGAATTCCTTTTATTTCTCTTTGCTATTAATCATTTTCCTCTACTGCTGTCTAGGAGTGCCTGTGTTGGATTCATCAGACAGTGCATGGCTGTGCAGTGTTCTGGAGCTGTCTTGTTTTTCAGTAACTGGTTTGCCAGTTTTCCTTAAATAACATGGAAAGTGGAAGCATTTCCAGTTGTCCACTACTGTGTAAAATTAGTTCTGACTCCAGTGCAGAGCTCTGTGATACATCTTGTGTCAATACTGGGGGGCTCTCAAGGCTAAAGTTTGTAGTTCAGCATTAGTTTAGACACAAACTCTCTCAGGGCTGAGCTGTACTGAAAGCAAATGAAGCCCAACAGAATTTGTCTTTTATTCCAATGGAAACTCTTTTAGAAATTCTTTAGTAAACATGCCTTTGAACTATTGCAGTCCAAGAGCCTTCTGCTGACGATACTGTACAGCAAGTAATTCAGTTAACTTGTCCATATAAACAAAAGTACATCGGATCCATTTACTTGGATTTGGGCTGACAAATGGAAATAGCAACCAATATAGAAAAACTGGTGAAAAGTAATTTAGGGACACAGTTCTGTAAGAGGAGGGAAACTCTTTTGTTCCTTGCTACTAGAAGAATATTTATTTTGAATCAACCTTTAACCACTTCAGAGAACTTCCAGCAAATTCCAGGATTTCCACATGCCACCAATTAGGACTGGGTCTGATTTTAACCCAGGGCAGTGTGGTTGACAGTCTGCATTGGTAACATGCAAACCCTCAGGCACAGACTTCGAAGTGCCGTACCACACCCTGGGAAAGGATACCCAGCACTTTAAATGTTTACTTGAAAAAATGCAAAAAGGTTTTAATGCTCTCTGCCCTGTATAGTTGTAAGAGAGAATGGCTTTAGTATTCAGGCACCTTGGGAAACAAGTAGTTGCAGTCTTAGTTGACTAAGTGGATTGTTAGTAGCCATAAACATAAAAATTACTTATTTATGAAATAGCACGTGGTCTCTTAACTCCGACATTGTGTACTGAATGGTGTTGTGCTAGTACAGAATTTGACTAACCGAGTAGGTAAGTTGCAAATAACTCTAAAATACACAGATGTTGTATCAGCTCTTCATACTTTTTCTCCATTTTAAAAATACATTTAATAGCTCCACCTGGATTCTACCGCCACTATTACTGTTTTAAGTTTTATTGTTCCCTTTGCCTCTGCCTGCTATTTGCATTTGCAAGCTACTTACAGTTGTCCTGGAAACAACGACTGAACTTTTCTCCAGAGTCTTAAACTTGATCCTGTGCATGTGAAAAATGCAGGGAAAGCACATTTTCTCAAATTTGCTTTGCTAAATATGATATGGTACAAATCAAAATAAATGTTGCCTACCCTTCTTTCCACATGATGTTCTGGTAATAAATTTCAATGGACAGACAACTGTGTGCGGATTTCTCCAATTCTGTCACATCCAAGTTGGTTATTTATGATGTGCTGTAGACTCCTAAAAGCTTAATTTGGCTAATAATAGTCATAAAAAAAGAGACACAGCTGCAACTTCTTGTCTTTGTTGGATACTCTTAAAGGAATATTGCCATTGTGCAGAGCAAGTCTTATATAATGGGTATTGTTTATGCTGTAAATTTCATAGAAGTCACTGTGATTATGGAATACATATAGAGATCAACCTTCTATCCAGTGGGATTCATAAATTGTGTTTTCCAAGGTGAATTTCCAATTATGCCCCAAGTTAGAAAGTCATCATGTTTTGCAGTGCAATTCTTTTCTTCGGTCTAACAGGTTATTGGTTTTAAGTCTAGTGTTTAGTAGTTAAGGGAACCACTTTGCAAAATTAAGGTTGGAATTTCGAGTTCACTGGAGTCAGCTTTCAAAACAAGGCCGACAGATGGTAAATACATTTTGTGCCCAGCATCCATTAAATTTAATTGAAGTTGAAAGCTGCATTCGCTTAGTATCTTTAAAAATCTCCTACCTCCTTCTCTATTAGACATTCAGCAATTATCTGAGGTACCTGGACCCCAGTTCAGGCTTTTAAATGTACTGTGGAAGCCGCCTGTTTCCAAGTCAGTATTTTGTTTCAAACTTCTATGCCATTATTCTTAAAATACCTAATAAAACTATATCACAGATGGTAGATCCTATTAACATAAAACTTCCTTGTCCCAACATGTCTTGTTATGCTGTTATTTCTGTGCACATTTTCAATTCCTGAAGTTTCCCACCATGAAGGTGAGGAAACTCTTGACATCTTCCAATTTTCAGTGATTTAACAGTGGTCTGCGTGCTGCACATTGAACATTCAGCGCAACACACACACACGATTTCAAATCAACACAGAGCTCTCGTGAGTTCTGAAATGTCATACATCAAAATAAGCTCCTCTCCAGTGCACTACTAACAAGTGGGTTTTGTTCCTCTCTCACATGTGCTAATTGCAGCCAGCTGTTAAATGTTTAGTCTTAGTCATATCTGTAGGACGCTACTTTTTTTTTTTTTTTAAGGACAAAGAAAGTGAGCGAAAGAAAGAAAGAAATGATTGGTTATGCAGTAAGAACCATACTATTGCATTAGTCATAGTCACTGCCTGGATACAGCATTCCCTCTATAGGAAAGCAAAAGAAATTATTTGAAAAATACCATAGGTCAATTAGAAAAACATATCATACTTTCAGTGAAAGTAGGGCTTCTTCATAAATATTCCGCAAAGAGAAAATCTAATGAACAGCCTGTAAGGATTAACACCCCGAGCCTGTATTTCTCTCTGCACCTCAGCAAACCATTACTTCTCTACTGCATTAACATTATGTACGTATTACGCCATTCAGGATCTGTCATCAAGACTCATATCCCATTCTGGCAAATGCAAAGCAAAAACTAGGCCTTACAAATTCACTGAAAAAATGTATAACTATTAATTTTGTTACAAGCAGCTCTTTGAATGACCTTGCATATAGCATGCCTTAAACATATTGCAGGTTTTGGGAGGAAGGAATTCAGGCTTCTCTTTGTATGCTGGGAAATTATCAATAGGTTATCTTTCTTTCAGGTGAAGGAGGCCATGCAGAGAATCCATGATCGAGGAAATATAGGAAAACTAATTCTGGATGTGGAGAAAGCACCCACTCCCCTGGTGAGTGCAAAGCACCTCATACGTGGTGGTGTACAGTCACGCAAGGTGAAGCGTGGTAGTGAGTTTTGGAGACATACCCCTTACACTTGTTTTTATACTGTTTCTAAATATATAGCCCATAAATACAACCAATAACCATAACTTATATATTTAACCCAAAGTGAAATGTAATTTCTGGAGTCCCAGCAGTTACTTTTCTATACTGAATGGCTCTCTGCCTCTCCAAAAATGTGTCTGCAAGTCTTAGAACAGGATTAAACTGATACATCTATTTCTGTTCCTGTGATGGAAAATAGACATTTCACATAATACAAAATGTCTGTATTAGTAAGTGTATTGAACAGAAAAGGATACAGTTAATATTATTTCAGCGTACAAATGTAGATGTACTTTCTGATTCCTGTACAAAAGTCAGAGTATACCTTTGGTGGGAATCACTTTCACTTTTTTTTAGTAATATATGAAGTATAATATTTCAATACTTCCTTCTAGAAATGTTTTGAAGGAAGATAGTTATGATGGAGCTCTGGTCCCCTGGATCTGGAGCGCTTAACACAGTACCGAACCAGCAGTAAATCAAAGAAAATGTTCACCTGTGGTGTGAAGATAATGAAAAACGACACTGATGTATGAGGTTTACTTTCAGATCTGAGATATCTCCTCTTTCAAAAGAACACGAGAGAATTGCAGTTAAGCTCGTGCATTTACATTAAAATAGGCCCCAAATCTTATACGAAATGGCTGCAAGGAAAAAGAAGGGTTTGGGGGCCTCACACATAGAAGCTGGGCATTATTTTATAACTGAGTTGCATCTTAACATTGGTTAGAAGGTGAGAATAAATTTGATCCACTTTCACAAAAGGGTGTTAATTCAAAACTACGGGTAACTTTAGAGTCTTGCTTTCCTCTATTATAATCAGGTTGTACTTGAGAATTCTGTTTTTATTTCCAGAAGAGGCCAGTAATCAAACAGGGAAAGTACAGTGTCACAGCATTTGTCTTCAAAAGTAAATGAGTCCCTTCCTTAGCTGCTTTTGAAATAGTTATAAGCTAATACAGGAACCTTTTTGTGTCCTAAGAGTAGTAGTGGTGGTGTATAAAAGAATTGAATCATACTAACCTACACTGGGAAACACTGCCACCTGTCCAGTTGCCCAGCCTCTTCTTGTGCTTCCAGAGATAAGTCAAACTGACAAAAGGAAGTCCGGGAGAGCCTCGCACCTTTACACAGCTTGTAATAAATATTTCCATGTGAAAAAACATGATGTGTCCTTAAATGCTATTCCGAACAACAAATTTCTGCTGTCGCCTACTACCTGTACAGGCATCTCCAATAAAGTATGGAAGTGCAGTTTCTCCCCACTCCTGTATGAGCCAAGATTTTCACTGTCAGTGTCTACGTATCCGATGCTCTACAAAGGTTCATCGGTTTTTATATGGAAACAGTTGCTCTCTGGTTTTTGTCACACTGCACCTCACACAGAACCAAATCCCATCCATTCGCTGGCGCTAAAGCACAGTGTTACGTGTTTCTGGAAGAGCAGATATGGAAGGAGTTGTAAGCCAGAGGTCTCACACATTTTTTAAACTTTCTACACAGTTGTATTTTCTAGCTGAGAGCCTTAATATCGGTTTGCTAAAAGCACACAGATGAGAGTCTGCTTGTGCCACTGTCCTACAAAGCAGCTTTTTATTACGTTAAGTCAGCTGTAAGCCATGAGGGAACAGCCTGCAGTTTTGGCTGGAAGCGATAGTGCCAACAAAAGTTTTGCACGTTGCAACCATGTCTTCTTTCATTTTTAAAGTCACTTGATCAAATGAATCAAACTGAAACAAGAATGATAACGCTGTTATACAGCGTTAAAGGTACTCTGATGCCCTTCATCTTTCATCCTGCAGATGGCCAACGACAGCACAGAGACCAGCGAGGCTGGCGAAGAGGAAGAAGACCACGAAGGGGACAACGAGAATAAAGAGCGCATGCCCTTCATTCAGTAACAGCCAGAGATGGTGGAAGCAGAAAGATTGATGAAGTAGAAGGGAACAAGACTGGGAAATCTATTCTGTGCATCAGTGAACAAATGCTGTAGTACAGTGTGTGTTGTGTTTGTCTGCAGTCAGCTGAGCTATGAGCTGTTGATCATTGTTGTTTTGAACTCAAGTGCCATTCTCATCCAGTGCAGTATTATGACATTCCTGTGTAATACCCAGTTTCCCTGTAGGAGTCCCATGGATTTTTCTGTTCCAGTTTAAAAGCCTTATTAACTTATTGTGTAATTTTAGATGGGCATCTTTCTCATGCAAATTCCAACACTTTACATAAAGCTATTTGAGGGTTTGGGCTTTTTTGCAAGTTGGAAACAGTAACAAAATAAGTAATTCCCCACTTGCTGTCTGGAAGATTCTAGTAACTGGAGGGAGGATTTTAAGTTTGTGGATTGTCAGTGTTAAAATAGTTTTCCTTTTATGAACCACAGATAAAAGTTGCAAAAAAAAGACGGGTTTTCATTTTCTTTAGTCATGCTTTATCATTTTATAAGCAATCCTATCTTCCTTTTCAAAAATACCTCGTTTAGAATTGTGGAATCTGAAATTGTGCAAGAAATCATTGAGAGACCTTGATTAGTATTGTACAATCACGTTAGTCATCAGCACCAGTGACTAAACACTTCAGAGTGCCAACTGTCATGCCTTCCTGTTGATCTAAGCTATCATCTTCTACGTTACAGGCAAAAAAAAAGGTCATGAGACACTCTTTTTTAGACCCAGAGCTTTAATTGCCTGTAGCAGTTAGCACTGACATTGACAGATCAACATCTTCTGCTAAGGATGTACTGACTCATCTTTGTCCAAAATCCAAACCAACCTTAAATTTCATTTTAAAATTATGTTAGTAAAGCTCACTCATCACTATGTGGACAGACATTTGTTGACGGAGTTTACTGCTCTGAAATCGCTAATGTGTTGATCAACTGTCAAGCTGGAGCTGAACTCTTGCAGAGGTTAACCCTGTTAAAATTGAGTTTTAGGCCTTAATCCCATCAGAAATTATGCACGGGGATAACTTTATCTAGCTGAGTAGTTCTGTCAAAACCTCTGCTCCACATGTACAGTTATGGTTGTAATTATTTGCAGGATCAAGTATTCAAAGACCAGCTAGTCTTATCTACCTCCCACTAGTGGAAACTATATCTAAACATGACAAGAGTAAATATTTTTTCCATGTGTTTCACTTATTAAAGCAGCAGCTACTCAGGTCCTCAATTGTCTTGTTAAAAAAATTGTTTTAAAACAACCACAATCACCTACAGTAGAAATGCTAAAAGAATGTCAGAGAGGTTGTATAATGCCATATATATTTGAATTAATATATTTTCTTCAAAAGAAGGTATTTCCCCAGGCATGGCTAGTTGTTCACCTAAATCAACAAGCATCCTGTAGTGACAGAAGTTAAAAACTAATATAGAAAAGTGGAGAGCGAGGCCTTTTGGGGCTTTTCTCAGTGTGAAAGGACTTGTGGGTCTGGATGACTTTTATGTGTGGTTTTAGAAGATTCTTTCTTGTTTTTTTTCTGTTTGTTTCACCTTGCTGCGTGAGTATTAACGTCCATCTCTTTACACTGTACTCATGAAGTTGCTGTTCTAATACCAGATAATTGTGCAGAGCATTCATTCTGAAGGAGTTTCCCATGAGTTAAAATAATTCCAAAATAATGAGTAGAAGTAACAAGAAAAATGTCAGAAAAGCTTTTGAAATATTAAGCAAACCGGAACTTTCGTTTTCTTGAGATGTTGATGCAGAACTTCACTATAGTTGATTCTCTTTAGAAGCTGGATTTGCCTACACTTCCAGTGCTGTATCAGGCCTGAACAGGGACTTTATCCATAGAAAAATTAGATATTCAGTGAGAGTTTTCCATGTATTGGCCTTGCCAGTCGGGTTTTTAAGAAAGGCCATTAAGTTTTCATGACTCATAAGCTAACAATGGTAGGAAACATGCCCAATTTTGTTTTGCAGTTAGTGTAATGATGTTGTCCTGCAACAAACCTTAACATAACTAGGAATTTTGATTTGATGCCAAAGTGAGCAATATTGCTGGTGACCTTTGAGCTGGCAGTAAAGTGGCATTCTCAAGGCCTTAAATTAGTAGGGCAAGCAGAATAGCAACTCTGTTCTTCTGTTACAAACCGCAGTATGGTTGGCTCTACAGTTAAATTACCCTTCAAGATAAATAAAGATGGGTGATCTTGGTCATGGCCACAGACACCACAGGGACAACAATCAAATGAAATAATTTTGGCTAGTTCTTTCTGGTTTTGTTAGCAAGGCAAAAATGCTCCTCATGCTAATTCATACCAATTTTAGGGCCATTTTCTGATCAGCAGAATATCAGGTAATTGCAGGGAGTACAAAGGAATATTGCTGGATCTAATTAAGTGCTACACAGATGAGTATTGCCATCAGCAAGCTAAACTCTACTCTGTGTTTCACTGGTAGCATTGTGGCATATGAGAAAGTTGCTGCTGAAATGAATGGACATTTTTTAGGTACCTGTTCCAGAAGCAGGATTCTGTGGTGGCAGAATTTGGCCCACAAGCCCCAAGAACCTTTTCAAATACCACAAACAGTAGTACGGCAGCTGAAGTGATTGAGGGCACTACACAAAATGCCAATGCTAAGGCTTGTTACTGACCAAGCCTTATTGTAGTAGAAATGAAGGTTTGTGCTTACTACTGACTGTTGTATAAATAACTTTAAGACAATTGGTTAGTTTCTTCAAGTGAAACAAGTTATTTCTCAATTTGCCTTAAAGGAACTGTGAAAGCTTCTCTAACTTAAGCCTGATTGAAGTGAACTGAAACACTGTTTAATTGTATTTGTTGCTTTAGAGCTTTTGTTATATTGTGCCTACAAAGCAAATTATGTTTACATAAAAATATAAATAAAATATTAAGCATAGCATTATCCTTGGTTTACATGTTTTATTCTAATGTTATGGTCACATTAGGGAACTGACTTGGAATTGGTTAAGAGGAAAATTTGAGGCTTAATTTTCTATTTTGGTCACTGAGGGATATACAAAGATTATTTTTTTTATTACAGAGTACATTGAGGTTATTAAAATGGCTACGTATGCTACTTTACAGAACAGCAACAATTTAGATATAAAACACTGAATGTTACAGCCCAGGAAATTTAAAAGATTATATAAGCTCTGTTCATGAGTGTTCAGGTGTGTTTTGATATGAATAGAAAGTAGTTTCCAGAATTTTAGCACTCAGATTGCCCTAGGAGATGGACTGACACATAAGTTGTCCTCAGAGACACTTCCTTTCAGAAATGAAGATACTCTAAGGGAATAATCTTAAAATAGGATCCTAAACAGCCCCCACCAGACTAGCTAATAGAAAGCAGGTGGAGATGGAATCTAAAATCTCACTCTCCCTGGATCTTGGCCTTAACTCAGGGCTCTAAGGAGGCTTACACCTCTTCTTTCAAAGAACTGGTTACAGTTGCCAGATATTACAAGTCATCTCAAGCCTGCTTGTGAGTACCTGGCTTTAGAGGCCTTTCTGCACAAAAGGAAGAAGTGGTTCAATGAACTTCAGTTTAATATCTAAGAGAAGAGGAGATGCTAGCTTTGGTTCGCTCCAGTCGTGCAGGACATGTTCTAAAGCCTGTGATGTCCCTGGAAAATCTCGCTTCAGTAGTTACTGCATCTGCTGCATCTGAAAGTTCATATGAACACTTGCTCGTTGTGAAGAGGAGCAAAGTAAATTTGTGCCCTCTGTTTTCAAGTATTAAGTAAATAATCATCAGTGCATCCCTAATCACAGGGCCAGGATAAGGCTGAAAGCAAACAGCCATAGCCTTTTGCAAACTCAGTGATTACTAATAAAGCTCTGCCTTCCACCAGCTTTCCCACTGGGCCATCTGTACCTGGCTGTCACACGAACTCACGCACACAGGCTGCTACCAGGCTGCCTTTGTGTGCATCTGGCCAGATAAAACGCAAAAATCAGCCTAGGGTACTGCGTATCCATGACTTGCACCTTATCCGCCGTTTTGTGCTTCCCCTCTCACCTGCTGTGAGCTTTGTGATTAATCCTGGTTGACTTTGTTCAGAAAAAAAACCTAAAATGGCCGTAATTGCCAGCACACTTCAGATCTCCAGCTCCTAGAGAATCATGCAGGAGCTTCTCCTCCTGGCAGCACCCAAGTCCTTTGGCGTGAGCTAATGTTTTGTTTCACTGCAGAAAGAGGCAAAGCAATCACCACACTAACTGCTACCTGCATCAAGGCACCTTTTTCCCAAGTAATTTGTAGCATCTAGGCAAACATCCTAATGTTCTCCTTTGAGAGAAGAGGTTAGAGTATAAATGTAAACAGAGCTGTATCTCCTCAGTCTGAGCTTGGCATGCTGATTGATTGCTGACTGATTGAAACTAAGCCATTCCTTTCGGGTTTACCTGGCCTATCTCTGTCGACTACCTCAGCAGCAACTGGCGTGGTTTTCTGACCGCTGCCTTAAGCTTTGCTTTTTGTAGCAATGCCGTGTTGGGCATCTTGCCACCAGTGTGCTGTGCAGAAACTGGAAGATGGCGTGAGAACAGATAACGAAGAGTCAGAGGATGAATGTTTGAAGAGAAATGAACCATGTATGTCTCTGCCCAAGATTAACAAGTGAGTAAATTCTGCAGCATGTTATCTGATCATTTATTTGTACGCTTGAAAGCCAAAAAAGAAGGTTCGAAAGATGCTTTTTACTGTATAAAGGTCTGCCTGACACTGACACTGTTCTCCTGTGAGGGATGAGGGCTTGGGAACTAGGAGGTAAGCACTGCTTCAGGGGCAGGTTTACTCCTAGAGCTACAGCTGTGCAGTGCTTGTGCAGCCCATGCCCACAGCTCGTGTAAGCTGCTGTCCCTCCTGGGCACAAGGGCTCTCTGCCAGTCCCAGGTCCCAGCCCTCGCTGCCATCAACCAGGCTCCTGGTACCTGCAGCCCTGCTGGAAGCAGCTCTGCCTCTGCCAGAACTGGAAATGTGCTACGTTCCACCAGACATAAGCTGTGTCCTGCCAAACATCATTTTTCTGATAAGCTGCAGGTTCCAGTACAAATCATTTTGTGCTCTTCTGCTGGGTAATCTTTGTAAATACATTTCCCACACAGAGAGATGTGTTTCACTCTGTAGTGCAGCAGTAAAGGATGCAGCATCCTAGCTGCCCTAGAACAGTGAGATGGCAGATATGCTACATGCATTATTTATGAAAGGATTTCTGTACTTTCCCTGAAACGGCTAGCCCTTGAGCTGGCCAGGTGATAAGCTAATAACCAAACAGTGCTTGTAAAGGCTGGTGAGTGCACTTAGCTGGATGGTAACTGGGGTGCTTTCTGGTTATACATGCATCGTGTGGCCTGGAGGACGTTTCAGATCAGTGATGTTTTCCAGAGGTTTCTAGGAGAAAACATTTCTTCTGTTGCTAGCAC